AATTAAATTATAGTGTATATTGTTGCTATATCAAATACTAATAAGCAAGTTAAATATTTAAATTATTATATAACTCGTGAAGCCCATATATTTCACACAACCTACGTGCCAGAGGCACGGGTTATACACTAGTTATAATAATAATTTAATATATATTTATAAATATATTATATATTTATAAAATATAAAAATTTATACCTTTAATTGCTAAAAAATCTCTTGCTATTTTAGCTAAATGTGGAAAATCAGTTTCATGATTCTATAAATTTAAAATTAATATTTTTAATAATAATAATAATAATAATAATAATATAATTAAATAATAATATTTACTTTTCACCATTCTACAATATTTATATCATTATCATCATTAGTATCAGCAGGAGATTCTCTTAAATAAGTTGCTAATTCATCTGAAGGATCAACTTTTTTGCATTTTTAAAAAATATTAGCTAATATTTTATTTTGTTTTACTTGATTGAACATTATTTGTATTTTGAGAAGGTTGAGTTGATAGTTAGATTTTTACAAATCTTCTATTTGAGTTTGATATGTTTGAATATATTCTTCAAAATCATTTTCTTGATAATAAGTTAGTTTAAGTCTAGGATCCAAAACTAATTAATTAAAATATAAATTAATATTAAAGATAATATATAAATTAATTTAAATATAAATTATAAAATATACAGTACTTGTTTCAATAATATAAGCTAATCCTTTTGTTGATGAATAATATTTTTCAAGTTTATCTATACCAAATTGAGCTGCATTTTTAATAGTTAAAATTGTACTTTTTTCTTCAATAAATTTTTCTAATATATCAAATAAAGAATTATAAGCTGAAACTATTAAGCTAATTATTGAATAAGTACTTTCACTAATATAAGTAGTTGCATCTTCAAAATACTAAATTTAAATATAGTATAATATAATAAATTATAATTAATATATTTAAATTTTAATTTTTTTTTGTTATTAAAGTAAGGCCATGCTTTATTTAAATTTTAAATTATAGTATTATAATTATTATATAAATACCTCCATTAAATTTTTAAATTCTTCAAATAAATTCTAATAATCTTCATTTAATTCATATTTTTTTATTTCTTTTTCAATAGTTGTTATAATATTAATTGGCCAAAAAATATTTAATATTAATAACATATTTAAAAACATATTATTTTTTAAATATATATAAAATATTTACCTCTTTTAGTTTAAGTGCTCTTTTTATCATATAATAAATAGAGTTCCATCTAGTTTTAACATCTACAATTAATTCAAGTTTACTTGAATTAAAGTTTATAAACTTTTCTTTTCTTGTGGTGTTGATCTAGAATATGTAATTATTTTGCAAAGCTATAATATTTTTATTAAAAATATATTAATAAAATTTATTTAAATATTAATAATAAATAGTTATTTATTTACTTTTTCTATTGCAGTCATTGAATTAATATTATCTTTTTTTTCTAATATATCTTCATCTTGGTTTGGACCTTCAGCTTTAAGTTTTTTTAAAATATCCTGAGCAGCAAGATTAATAACATGCCCAAGACATTTAACTCTATAGTTTTCTTCATCAAATTTTATTTGTTTTGCTAAATATAATTTAGTAAAATATTCAAACATTTTGTTATTATTAGAAGCATTGTCAGTTGTAATTGCTAAAATCTATATAATATAATAAATAAATTTTATTAATAAATTAAAAAAATTAAATAATTATAGTATTAAAAATAAAACAAACCTTATTTAAAATTTTATAATTTGCTAATATTTCAAATAAAATATTAGCTATATTTTCGCCTGAATATATGCCTTTTAATTTAATAAATTCAATTGTAATTTGATTCATTTTCTAATTTTTGTCTATCCAATGAGCAGTAATTCCCAAAAATGAATCTTGAACTGGAAATGTCTATATATCAAGAGTTAAAGAAATTTTACATAATAAATTTCAAAAATTTATTATATTAGTTATTCAATAATAAAATAAATTAAAATTAAAAATTAAAATATACTTGCAATTTATCTTTAATTTCTTCTTGTTTAGTTTCAAATTTTGCCATTATTCTATTTTTAATAGTATCAGCTGAAAATAATTTTGCTTCATTATTAAGATAATCTACTATATCTTTAAATTTATATTCCTCAACAATTGTAAAAGGATGATCATTCATAACAATCCATCTAACTATTTATTAGTAAATTCTTCTTGTTTATAATTCTATAAAAAAAATTATTAATTAAAACAAATTATTAAATAAAATACAATAATTTAATATTAAATATTTAAAAATTTACATTTTGATATTTTTTAATTTCTAATTTTGTAAAATCAATTTGATGAATATTTCTAATATGTTTCCTTAAAGTGCCAGTTAAATAATCATTTGGCTTTTTATATTTTTTTCTAAATTTAAAAAAAAATTTAAATTTTATTTATAAAATTAATTTTAAATTTTATTTATAAAATAATTTAAATTTAAATATATACTGTAATATAAAACTTACGGACAAAGCTTGCATTTAAATTGTTTTGTTTTTCTATTATATCTATAGTATTTATAAACAGTTGGAAGTGATCTTTTTGTTTTTTTAGAATTTGGTTGATCATCTATATCTTCAATACTGTTTATATCTTTAAAATCAATTTCGATATCTTGAGAACTACTAGATTCAGCAATAGTATCAATTTCCATATTTTGAGAAATATTAGATTCAATAATAGTATTATCTTCATAAATATCATCTTCATAAGTATCATTTTCATAGGTATCATCTTCAAAAATATCATCTTCTATATTGATAGGAGATTGTGATATTTAAATTTTAAAAGAATTAAGGTCTATTAAAATTAATAGATTTATTAAAATTAATTTGTAAAAAATTAAATTTTAAAAATTACAAGGTTTCTAAAAAAACTAACATATATATTTATTTCTACCTCTAATAGATTAAACAAAAACAAATATAAGCATAATAATGCATAATACTAATAACAAACAATACCAATATGTACAAAAAAAAATTGTAAAACTTATTTAGTAAGATTTGCAGATTTCTTTCGCATCACTTAATTATTTCTTATGATAATAGAATACATATGTATGTATGTACATATGTACAAATTAAAATTTTCTGATACAATGAATATAAACTGCTTTTAACTGAGATTGTCTAGAGTCAGATAGTAATTTATATGTATTACTTAACTTTTGTTTACAAATTTATTATTAATCAACTTAAAAATTACCCGGCTTTAGACAATCCTCTTTAACTAAAACTTGTATAACAAATTATTTATACATACCATTGTTAAAATATAACAGTAACGTACGTACATATGTACTATTATTAAAATAGAACAGTAACGTACATACCAAAATACAATCAAATAACCTGGCTAGCAGCACATATAAAGAAACTATGTATTTATAAAGATTATAGCATAAACCCCAAAAGTTATTTCTCCTACTTGACATTACATAGAGTAACAATTTACTAACAAATATAATATCTGTAACACTAACCCTAACCCTATATAATGTCGGGTAAGTGGCCAGTCAAGAAATAACATTCAGAGAATTGAGTGACAACCTTTACAAGAAGTGTAATTGTACTGAAAATTCAAGATGCATAATTCATTTTTAAAGTTATACATACTCTTTGGAGTTGCTTTTATAAATTACAATTTAGAGTATTTTCAAATAGCATACTAAATTAATTAGTTAATAATTGTAATGGTGCTCATCTGTTAGAGTAAATTTTAATTAGATTTTTTTTTTTTTTTTTTTTTTTTTTTTTTTTTTTTTTTTTTTAAGGTGAGGTTTTGCCTTTATCTTTATTAATATTTTGTATTGAGAATCCAC